CAAATTCTGAGCTGTGAGCTCTATTGTTCTGTTCAAAGATGCCAGGTACATTTAAGTCTGCTGCAGTGGAACTCATAACTGCCTTTTTTTCCCAGGTGCTCTGTCCCAGGTAGGTGAGCCTTTCTTTATAAATTCTTGACATGCTGCTGCCTTTTTTCAGAGATGCCCTTCTCCGCAAGGAGGTAACCTAGTCACAGTCTGCCAGCAGAGGTGTTGCTGAGCTGCCGTGGGCTCTGCCCAACTGCTGTGTGAACTTCCTTGCAGTTTTGTTTATGGAGGTATAGTTAGAACTGCCTCAGTAATGGCAGTCGGCCTCAGTAATGGTGGACTGTCTCTGTAATGGCGGACTGCCTCGGTAATGACGGACTGCCTCGGTAATGGCGGACTGCCTCGGTAGTGGTGGACTGCCTCAGTAATGGCGGATGCCCTTCCCCCCACCAGGCTGGACCATCCCAGGTCCAGCTGTGCTTGCTGTGAAACTCTCAGTCCAGAGCGTTTCAGATTGCTGGTCTTTGTGGGGGTGGGACTGGTCATGCCAGATCACCTGGCTCCCTGTTTCAGTCCCCTTTTTTACAGTTGCATGGGTGACTCTGTCTCCCAGGTGTTCCAGGTGCCAGTTGAAACGGTGCCCAGAATTGTGTGAGTTTTTGTGCGGAGACCCACTGTGCTGGCTGAAACAGCCATGCTGGAGACTTGTGGCACTTTTCTGCCCAGGAATCTCCTGGTCTGTGGCAGTAAAAATTCGTATGGAAATGCAGTAATCACTCACCATCTGTGTTTTCGCTGGGAACTGCAATCCAGAGCTGTTCCTATTTGGCTTGGCTATCTTAGATTGTCTTCTATTTCTTCTTTCTATACTCTTTGGGTGAGCAAAAGTCATACTTTGATTATTTTTCTATGAGTTCAGCAAAAAATGGATTCTAACTTTTAAATTTTTGAAAATTATCTTCCAAAAATCCATTCTCATCCTTTTCTTCTTCGGTCCTGTGTTCCCACATCCTACCACTTCACACGCTCAACTTCCACGTGCTAATCCACGCCCTTGTTTACAGTTGCTCAGTGAGCTCTGAATTCACTTACATGGACTACAGAACCAGCCGCAATGCTCCTTTTTGTCCTGTTAGAGGTCGTGAAATAATTTCTCAGTTTCTCTTTTTCTCATCAATACTAAAATGTCCTTTTCTTTATAAAATCTTTTGTCTTTTTAGCCTTAATAACCTTTTAAATGGTGTTGTGGGTATTTTTTATTTGTTTGTTTTGTTTTTGGGGTTTTTCTTTGAGATGGAGTTTTGCTCTTGTTGCCCAGGCTGGAGTGCAGTGGTGTGATCTCAGCTCACCACAACCTCCACCTCCCAGGTTCAAGCGATTTTCTTGCCTCAGCCTCCTGAGTAGCTGGGATTACAGACATGTGCCACCACACCTGACTGATTTTTGTATTTTTAGTAGAGACTGTGTTTCTCCATTTTGGTCAGGTTGGTCTCAAACTCCTGACTTCAGGTAATCCACCTGCCTTGGCCTCCCAAAGTGCTGGGATTACAGGTGTGAGCCACCACACCTGGCAGACTGGTGTTGAGTTTTATATTATAAAAGTAATAGCTCAGTTGAAGGGTGTTAACTCATATGTCATTTGAGTGAGCACAGTGCCATCGTGCATGTTTGTGTGTGTGCGTGTGCATGAGCACTGGAAGGAAGTAAACCAAACATTGGTGGTGACTGGATTAGAACAATGGATTATAAGTGGCCTTGAAAAGTAGTATTAGGTTTACACTGCTTTCATGATTACTAAATGCCAGTCAGAACTTACATCTTCAATTGAAAGTACATCTGGCCAGGCACAGTGGCTCATGCCTGTAATCCCAGTACCTTGGGAAGCTGATTCAGGCAGATCACTGAGGTCAGGAGTTCAAGACCAGGCTGACCAACATGCAGACACCCTGTCTCTACTAAAAAAATACAAAATTAGTTGGGCATAGTGGTGCATGTCTGTAATCCCAGCTACTTGGGAGAATCACTTCAACCCAGGAGGCAGAAGTTGCTGTGGGCCGAGATCACACCATTTCACTCCAGCCTGGGCGACAAGAGTGAAACTCTGTCAAAAGAAAGAAAGAAAGAAAGAAAGAAAAAGAGAGAGAGAGAGAAAGAAGGAAGGAAGGAAGAAAAGAAAGGAAGGAAGGAAGGAAGGAGGAAGGAAGGAAGGAAGGAAAGAAAGATAAAGAAAGAAAAAAAGAAGAAAGAAAGAGGCACCCTGGCCGGGCCCACACAGTGGCTCACGTCTGTAATCCCAGATCTTTGGGAGGCTGAGGCAGGTGGATCACTGGATGCCAGGAGTTCGAGACCAGCCTGACCAACATGGTGAAACCCCATTTCTACTAAAAATACAAAAATTAGCTGGATGTGGTGGCCACATGTAATCCCAGCGACTCAGAAGGCTGAGGCAGGAGAATCACTTGAACCCGGGAGGCGGAGGTTGCAGTGAGACGAGATTTCGCCATTGCACTTCAGCCTAAGCAACAGGAGTGAAACTCCATCTCAAAAAGAGTGAGATAGTCTTCCTGTGTCTGTTTAATGTCTGCTTGTCCCCCAAAGTCTAAACTCAATGGAGAGATGATTTGAGGTTTCTACCGTGGGATGTAGAAGAGCTGAGTGTCTTTTCAGGGAGAAAGGTGGCTGTAAAGGGAGACAGAAAGGAGCCTCCCAAGGCAGAGGAAGGGGCTGGCGGGTCCTTCCAGCAGCAGCAGCAGGACTGTGCCCCTCTCAGGGTCGCACTTGATGGGTGCAGTCCTCAGCAGGCCGGGGTTGTGTGTGGCTCAGGGAGGCAGGATCCAATTACCAAGGCCTCCAGTCTTGACAGAATCCTGGGCATCGGAGAAAGCAAAGAGCAACCGAGCTGCTGGCTCCAGGAGACCCTGTGGGCCAAGCATGGACCCCAGCTGTGGTCAAGGCAGCCTGGAGAATACAGGACTGTGCCATATTTTGGGGACCACAAAGGCCTTCCAGATTCAGTTGCTCACACAGGGAAAGGGCTGGAGGGCCTGTGATGACTGAGACTGGATTTCTAGCCAGTTCCATGGAAGGCTAACTTTATTTATTTGATTTCTTGAAAATAAAGGTGAAACTTTCTGCACACCTGGATTGGTGGTGGCTGATTCATTGCTGAGGCTGTTATAAATTCTCAGCAGGCCCGGAGCACAATTCAGAGGGATGGGAAATCAGAGCCTGGCTCCTTCCTTCCTCCCTGCGTTCCCGCAATGTTCTCAAGCATTTGCAGGAGACATGCCCCGGACACTGAGAGACGCAGAGCTGGAGACCAAACTCTCCCTCCCCCAGGAGGTGGCGGGGAGGCCAGGCAGGGCCACAACATCTCGATGTGAGGGTCTCTGAGACAGCAGCCCTGAGGAACAGACAGAGGGCTCCGGGTCCTGGCCAGACCTCAGGATACAATGGCTCCTTACCCAGCACCCTCTGGGTGTCTCAAACGTGCTAATGGCACACACAGGAGGGCTAAAATAAGAAATTTAAAAATTGGACTAATTGACCAGTCGTGGTGGCTCATGCCTGAAATCCCAGCACTTTGGGAGGCTGAAGCAGGCGGATCACGAGGTCAGGAGTTCGAGACCAGCCTGGGCAACACGGTGAAACCCCATCTCTACTAAAATACAAAACAATTAGCTGGACGTGGTGGCAGACACCTGTAATCCCAGCTACTCGGGAGGCTGAGGTGGGAGAATTGCTTGAACTCAGGATGTGGAGGTTGCAGTGAGCCAAGATTATGCCACTGTACTCCAGCCTGGGTGACAGAGTGAGACTCTGTCTCA